TGTAACCCACTTAGAGCACTTATGTCTAAGTCACTTAACCCACTTACAAAATACAACTTATAAGTCCACCATAACTCATTTTTATGCGTACATATAATTGCTCATAAACGATATATAACTTCCAGATAACCTCGCATTTTCTAAGTATTATCTCAAACCATAAGTCCATTAAACATTTACTTCTTCTAGCAATTAGATAGGGTGTTGCCTTACCATTTACTAGCGTGGATAAATAATTATCCGATTTCAGGGGGCACTTGCCCAACTTATAAGTCATGTTACAGAACTTATAACTCAACTTACTAAGTAAGTGTCATGCTGAACAACTGCTCTAACCAAATATAAACAGGACGATCCTCCAAGTAGTTGTCCATGTTCGACAGCATCGGATTACCAGAGCCTCCACGCCCACACCCAAATACTGTCCATGTTCGAAGTAACACGATTATTACAACATGCATGCCCAAACCCTAACACCGTCCATTTTCGAAAGCATCAGAATACTAGGGCATCCCCACCAAAAACCTAATACAGTCGAAGGTCTCAAACATACCATGATTGCCAGAGCATCCATTCCCAAGCCATAAAAGTGGCCCTGCCCCGAAGCATATTTCTACGCTCGACAGAAAGCAAGTTTGAAAAAATGATTTCCATTCAACTCGAAGGCTGCGTGCCCGAAGCACTTGCAGGCGTGGTGAAATGCGACCCTTGCGCCAAGTGGCACCCTGCACCTCTTACACACACAAACACACTGTTAAACCCTAAATCCTTTACCCTGAAACCCTAAACCGCGCGGCTTCCCTTTTGTTGATGAAATGTCCACAAACGCAAAAACGAACGTTCACTCAGCCAAGAGGCTTCGTCATTTTGAAATGCCTAGCAAACCTTTTGACGCAGTCGCTCAAATGGCCGAAGGCGTCTTCCAGGAAAAACTTCGTGTTGGCCGGGCCACCGAAAGTCAAGCGGCTGATGAGTTGGCATTCTGCGTTTCTTGCATCCCACTTCGCCTGCTGGCAGGCGCCCAGAATTTCGCGAGACAACTGGCCATGCCTCCAGGCGAGGTCCTGCATGCATTCCGAGAGAGCCGCGCGCTCAGCTTTAGACAGTCCGTGATCCGCACGGTTGAGCAAATCCTCCATTTGGAGAACTGCTTGCCAAATGCGTTTCACCAGCCGCATACCTGCACTTCGTTCTGCTTCGCTTTCGTGTTGTAGGCAGGCGAACAGGTCTGGAAGGCAGATCGTGTAGATTGCATGCGACCATGCATGGCTAGAGGCGATCTCTGTGATGTAACGCACATAAGTCTTCAAGACATCGTACTGATGGCGTGCCCAACCCCCCATGTTCTCCAATTCTGGCTGGGGACCGGCGTAGAACAAAGATAAATGCAACTTTCTCAAAACGGAGGTGTCCTGGGCACTACTGAGCGTCTTGCAAACTGTCTGGTACCAGGCAGCAGCACTTCGTTGCGCCCGCCAGCGCAAATTCGCCTCCTGTCCACAATGGGCGGCTGAAGGGACGTCTTGAAATTTCAAGGGCTGGGGTTTCAAGGTCTTGATTCACGGGCATTTTATGTCCTTGGGGAAGAGCGCTGATTAGCTCTAGGCTTACGTCAGTTGAGCGAAAATACCTACTGCATTCTCGCTGGCATGTCTCTACCTGCATGCAGCACCCCACACTTGCGCCACGGTGCAGACTAGACCCATATTGTTGATCCTACAAATGCTGCATGACCGAACTAGACTACAGTACTATATAACTCAAGGTGTAAATAAAGTACTGGGGGGTCATGAGGCACTCAGGATTTCTTGCATCCGCTGTATCCCGAGCCGGAAGCCTACACCACCTGAAAGGTAGAGACAAGTTTCGCCTGCTTCCCGCCTTCCCCTTTTTGTGCGTTTCGATTGTCTCCTGGTACTCTTTGATCATATGGTAAGCTCCAAGAAACAAGATCTTCAGCTCGCTTTGCAGATTTGAATCCTGGTAGTACTTGTAAGCGATCCTTTGGTTGGAGGCATACAGCGCCTTGAGGTCTGCAAGCTGTTGCTTGTTCTGCGGGCGTTCACCAGTTTCTGGCTCAGGCACGGCAGCAGCGTTTTCATTCCCGGCAGGATCCTGGCGATTTGTTGCTAGCCCGCACATAGAACAGAAGCCGGAAGGCAGTTTCTGCCCCATGCTACTGAGAATTGGACTAGTCTGCACCCCTTCCCCCCAAAAAGGTGAAATTATAGTATTGGAAATAGGAACTCATGTTCGGCAAGTCAGACAAAGCAGCTTAGTGTATACCCGAAGTGAAGGTTTGACATGAAAGCCTTGAACCCTAGACCCTAAAAACAAAACAACACGTAACTCTAAACCTGACACCTCAACCCCTAAACTTTAAGCTTAAACCCTCAGTTTTAAAGAAAACCAACCGCCCGCCCCAGAGGCCAAGTCTTAAACAGGAAGGCCATGAGACCAACTTTTACCCCTAATCTTTGTGGCTCCCACGCGCCTGTGAATCCCGAGGCCAGCATTTTTTGGAGCAGCGAAACTGCTTGGTTGTCTGTGAGATGACCTGAGAGCAACGTAAGGAAAGGGTGAGAACACCGGGCTCAGTAGTTGTGCTCAGGCAGGCTCACAGCATGATACATTATCAGGAAATCAAAATCAAGCAACATCTTGATGGCATTCGCATCCGGTATGACATACTCAACGGATGCCACCATAGCCCCATATCCGACCTCGCAAGTCTACTGCAACTGGCGGAGCAAGCCCTGCATGTAGTGCATACACAAGGCCTCTGGGTAGGGCTGCGCAATTCGTGTCTTCCAGCGGCCGTCACGGTCTTTGCCAGCGAGAGGAATGTGTGGGCCTCCCAGCCGATCACATTTGTGAAAGGGGCCGCCGCATTGGAGGAGCTGGAGCTGATCAAACTGTCGCACCATGAAGGTCGTTGCCTTTCGCCAGGGCGTGCCATACATGCAAAAGGAGCAATGTACCATGCGGGCACCAGTTTTTAACAGGCGACGCAGTTCTTGAGTTAGCCACAACCGGCTCGACTGCGGGTTCTCAAGTGACCATGGTACGTTGGCACGGTTGCATGCTTCCAGGATTTGTATGGCGACTTCCAGCAAGCGGTTGCCTTCACGCACTTTGCGGCTGTCAACGTCAGGCAGCCCCGGCAGTCCATACAAATACTGGTCATCATCACGAAGGGGTCCCGGGCCTCGACCATCATCACGGCGTGCCCGGCTCCACGTGATGCAGGGCAGTCCCAGATGGACTGCGCCGAACTCATGATTGATGATACGCTGGCAGAGCCGCGAGACAGTGTCTGGCTTAAGGAGGTCACACTCTGCTCCGAACTCAATGTCCCACAGTTCTGCTGGTACCCCGCACAGAACACCTGCCTTGGAAAGGTTCCCGCAACCGGCAAAGAGCTCCAGGAAAGGCTTCACCCGTGTTCTTTTAGGCCACAACGTCCGAGGACCATGCGTTTGAGCAACTCGGGCGCAGCCCTTGCTTTCGTTTTGATTGTCCCATTGAGCTTCTCGAACTGTTGGGCAACCAAGGCATGCTGTTCGTATCTGCGAAGGCTTGAGTCCGACGCCCACCTGCCTCTCAGCTTCACATCGAGGATGGAACGGTAGTTGCGAAACCTGTCCCATGTTGCCCCGGAGTGCCTGAGTTGGTGTAGGACTGCAAACCCTTTTTCCAGCTTGAGGTCCATCAAACTTTGGTTCCAGGCGCTGGTCACGTCCGAGTAGCTGGTGGGTAGAAGAGGACCATTGAGCACTGTTCCTGCACACTCCAGAGCCGGACCCAGCCAAAGAACTTCCTTGCTGTCTAGCATGATGGACTCGTTGTTGACATCCGTCTTTGAGGTTTGCATGTCCTCGGAGGGGTGCAAGTTGATGGCCCACGTTGGGCCCAATAGGACGCTCTTCACGAGGTCCCTCCGCCTTAGACCGAAAATTTCTCCGGGACGGAGGTATGCCACAAACATCAGCAGGACAGCCAAGCACTCGAAGACCCTCCCATTTTCGGCCATCTGGAGCGCAATCAGTGCTATCAGGGGCCACGCTAGGGGCGGTCTGGTGACTCCTGGATCCAGGTTGCGCCATCCCTGCATGGCTCTGCGAGTTCGCGGGAGAGCGTGCCGTGCACAAAGTTCTGGCCTGTAGTCGGTAACTGCGGCTACAGTCTTCACTCCTTCGCTGACGTCCCAGCCCTCCAGGAAAGCTTGGTTTACAAAGAGCAGCAAGGCCCAGTCCACGTCGGCTGCCTTTCGCTGCGGCAACTTCTGGGCAACGCAGAAGGCCTTGAAAAGGTCCAATTTGTGGCGATATTCCTCGCTGGTCCTTGGAGCAACCGCCGCCCTCTCCAGAAGCGTTTGATTTGGATGCCGAGCTCGGGGAACAGCATTTGGCGCCACCTTCTGACGCTTGTTTGCCCTGACTGCCTCGCTGTTGGCTTGGAGGGCCACACGCACTGCGCGCTTGGTGGGAGTCCCTTTGATCCTCCTGGGGGCTACCCCCGATTTCAGGATGGCCAAGGGTCCTCCCGAAGAGCTCGTTGATCGTTTCTTGGATGCTTTCATTGGCTGTGCCCGGGTACATGATGGCATCCCGGATCTTTTTGCCCGTGGCTTTGCCGGCTTCCCTTGGGGATGCCGTTTCCCACTGCCTCGACCCGGCATCCGCTGCGTTGAACTCTGATGGAACCCAGCGGTGAGTGAAAACACTACACGTTGCAACGCAGAACGCAGCAGCACGCCGGCAGCACATGAGGAGAGGAACTGCTTTGGCACGACCCCTATCGAAAGCCAGAACCATGCCCAAATTGTCCCCCAAATGCAAATGCTTCATCTTGAAGTTGGCCCTGCTACGTAGCTTGTGTCTGATAGCTTGGATGGAACCACGTCCCTCTAGTACAGTGATGTGCTCCTTCATGTGCATGCGGCATGCGAACTGGTGTCTCCACTCTGGGCTGCAAGCAACCTCCGCAGGCACATGTTCAAACAAAAGGTTCAATTGGAAAGGATCCAGCTCCTCCCCAGTCATGTCACGCACCGTGCTCATGTCAGTGAACGGATCAAGCGACATGGCCATATCACGAGCACGATTGAGAGGATCTTTTGACTTGAATCGCCACATCTCTCGGCACTTGCCAATCTTCCTAACCATATCAGCTGAGCAATCCAATGACGAGACAGCCGTGCCCGAAAGTGATGCGTCACTGACAGTTATGTTAGGACACCACTCCAATCTGAGATCACAATGACAAACTAGCAGGAGGGCAGCTGCATTCTTGCACTCATCAGCCGCTGAGCGCCACAATCTGTATGGGGCTTTGTAATGGGCAGTCCTGAAATCATAAACCGACCTAAACATAGATAAGAGCTCCCTTCGCAGCATGAAAAGATGGATGCAATGACCAATCACTCGCTCAATGGATCTCCCTGACACTCTAGGGCGCCCAGCTAACCAGAGCAAAGCTAAGCGGACCTTGTCCCGCCGAGCCGGAACGGGCTGCACCTGGCCCCTCTCACCGTCAATGATGAAGCCAAGTGCCTGGGCGCGGGTAGTCGCTTGAACCTCCTCGTGAACCCTGAAACCAACTTCCCTGAGTCGTTCGGCAACACAATCCTTAGCATGTTGTACCCTAGCAGAGTCAATACCACAAACGTTCATGTTGTCCGCATACGGTATCAAGACGGGCTCGCCTCGCGACAAGTCCGGTGGGGGGCGTCCATCCACCAGCACCTGTTCCGGTCCACACTGAAGTGCAACAGAAGCTTGGTACTGATGAATGCGCTGTGCCACCCACATGGACCAACTCCACCCCATGGGCACAACACACATGCATGGATATATGCTACCCTGGATGCCCTCAAGGATCGGTATCTGGCCTGCCAGGTCAATCGCCTGCACCGCCGGAAGCGCAAAGTACGGACGAAGTCCTGGAGGTAGACCGATACTGTAGAAATAATCTTTCACGTCACTCTGGGCCGTATAAAGGACCTCACCCTGGGGAACCTCCAATTGAGCAAAGGTGTAGCCGGCCGCTAAGGCGATGTCAGGGGGAGCGGCAAACAGCTGGTTGCTAGCACGGCAGTCCAACACTAAGCGCAATCTACCATTCTTCTTACTTACAAAGAAAGGAGTGATCACACTGACAGCGGTCCGGGAGAAATTGATCATGCCCCTCTCGAAGATGTCCACAATGAACTGGTTGTAAGCCTGAGCGGAGGAGCGAAGGGTTTCATCCATGTAGGGTTGGATCCTTTGGATGTTGTTGTTGGCCTCTCGCTCTACAAACATGGTGCTCTCAAACCTCTCTAGTACTTCTCGCCCTTTCTCGTCAATGAGCTCAGTGGCGTCCAAAGGATGGGCACCACACTCAGGCAACGATACAAGGTCTCTCTGGTATGCTTTTACACCTCCTGTCCCATCTCCCCCTGAAACATAAGGGCTTGACGGACACTCAAGCAGAAGCTCACGGATGGCCTCACACTGAAACACTTGATCTTCCGATCTAGGCAGGTCAATGATCTGCCGCAACAAAATGGATTGAGCGGCAGCTTGGTTCTGAGAAGGCGGCCCATCGTCTGGGGTCTTGAACCCGGCCATGGAGTTGACCGCATTGATCACCTCATTGGTCTTTGCCATGTTTTGCTCACGCCTTCGACGATGTCGCTTCGAACTCACCGATTCCTTGAAAAACTCCTGCGGCTTAGGGCACTCGGGTTGGAGGAGAGGTAGAGGAAGTAGATCCCGCCACCGACCCTGAGGAGCGCAAGGACTAGCCATACTCAATCACAAATACCCAAAATCGTGCCGAAGAGCTCGGCTTAAAAGATAACCCCGTGAGGAAAAACTTTGTGAGAGGCCACCCTCCACGGAGAAAAGCGTGGCCTCCCAGATGCTCTCACTTGTCCGCCCCGCCAGCTGCCCCCCCTCCTTTGGGGTTTGGCCGGCCCGTTCGCTTCCGCTGCTCCATCTCCTCTTTGGCCTTCCGGGCCTCCTTTGCGATAGAGGCCTGGTCGCGAAGCTCTCCAGCCACGTAGCGTGCCAGGCCCGGATCCACCCCATCGCCACGCCGATACGCCCATCCCATGAACACGTCGGCCGCGGAGTAGTCGGGAGATGTCGGTGAGATCCGGTGCGCTTCACGAATGAGCTGCCATCGCCTGATCAAAAGTTCCGCGCCTTTGAGGTTGGGGAGGTTGAGTTGATCTACAGTGGAAAGTGCCTCCAAAACACGAGTGATAACTTCCATCTCGTATACACTTCTGTCCCCCTTTGCCAATTCATGTGTCCTGACCCAGTGTTCGTGGTCCGTGACCGGGGTGAGGCCTCGCATAACCATGGACTTCATGACTTCCAACCCTGACGGCGGACCGTCCAGCTGGAGCTTTCCACCTGGCATGTCTACCTGCTTCATGAGGGCAACCATGTCCGCAAACTCGGCCCTTCGCTGACCCTGGGGATCAAACCTGAGGGGCAACACATGCAAGTCCTCGGCCTCCATGCTGCCCACCAGGTTCGCGTCAATCTGCTTCAGGCAGAGGTGCTGTCCGTTGCCCACGTCGACAATGGCCCGGTCCCCCAGTTGAACCGCTCCCGCGGGGAGCGCCTGACCGGCCTGGACCACAATGGCACCAGATCGAGTGCCACCCCTTGATTCCATAGCCACCCACACTCTCGGATCGACAGGAGGTGCCGCAGGGCCTGGCCCGGCAGCAGCTGCAGGATGTGCAGCAGCTTGAGCGGCAGGAAGTCCAAGCCCTAATCGAAGCCCAGCTGCATAAAAACGGGCCTGATGCATGAGCGGTGAGCGCGCCGAAGCTGTAGACATGCCTCGGGTCGATGCCCGCCGGAACAGCCGCGCCCAGACCTGGACCCCCATAGTGGTAGGCAGTGAAGTCCGGGTTCAAGTCTGATAGCCTTTCTTCATACACATCATGATCTGGAGTTATGATGACATACAGGTCGTTGTGAATGTGGGCCCCAACCAAACGAACATGAACACAAGGAGGAACCTCACCGTAATTGACAAACACAACATCGCCCTCGGAGATCATTTCAGAGTCAAAGCCAGATTGCTACCAAGTACTCCTCGTTTGCCCTTGCCCTTGGTGCCCTCAAAAGCTGACTCTACTTTCCAGCAGTACAGCGAATGACCACAAAAGACAAGCCAGCTGAGACCCAAAGTAAACCAAGCAAACAGTTCTCTACCTCCAACGCCGGAATTAGGATTGGCGAGGCAATCACAATGGCATACACAAGGAGCAATGGTTGGTTTCTCAGGCTTTGATCCCCACACGTGTGAGCCCCAGAAAAATCCGATGACCAGAACTGCCACCAGCAGAGCTACGTCCATGAACCCTCCTACAAAGAGTTTTGAGGCTGAACAAGCTGAGGGAGTTGCATGCGGCCTCTGTGAAGCGCTCAGCCACACTTTCACACTTCGTATGCACCATGAAACGAACGCTGATTTTTTGAGATTCTTGGAATGTCAGCGCCTGATTCACGGCTTCAGCGTCCGCCATTTCCTCGTCAGAATCGTCCAACAGATCATCGTCAAGAACTTTCTTCAGCAGGAGGGAGTTCAAGGACCAGTCCAAAGCCACCTGGTACATCGCAATCAGGCTCCCAAACCATGTCTTGTACTTGGCCTGGGCCGCGGGCTGGGTTTGCAACTGTGTTTACAAGACAATGTTAATTCCTCATTTGCTGGGGTTCCATCTAATTCTTGCCGGTTCTTCCTTCGGGAAACTGAACTTAAAAATTTCTCGAAGTGGGACCTACCTGTAGTTTGCACTATGTCGTACGTGTCTGTCAGGATAGTAGGCAGAAAACTTGCTTGCCGGCGTCGTTGGGCCCAATTGAATCTTCTGGTTTGTAAGCTCTCATCCCTCAAAGCGTGAACCTTAGATATTAGACCCCTGCACCCTAAAGCCCTTACCATACCAACCCGGGGACCTAAACCCTGACTGCATCCCAGAACGATCTCACTAGCAAATCATCGCGTGGGCAGTAGTCGCACATTTCCGAGTCTGAAGGAACCGAAACTTCAATCTAAGCTTGCCAGGTCTCCCTGCAGGTAGCTAACTAGAGCCCCACGTCAGTAAGCAGAAAAATGTGTTACAGGCGCTGTGTTTAGTTAGTATGGGTGGTAATTACGTAGACTACATATGTATACATAGATATTTTTTCCTTTATCTATCTATTCCTTATTGAGTCCACGTGACCTTGGAAGTGGTGAAGCCAACACCCAAACCCTCCAGCCTAGCCTGAAATAAACCCTGAGCCCATAACCGGGCGCTTCTTTCCCCCAGACAGCGTAGCATGTCTCAGGCTGGGTAAGCCGCGCAGAAAGCTTTATGATGTTTGCGTTCATCAAAAACTGCCCAAGGCATATGGCCGCATACCATGGGTAAGGAAGTGCAGTTGGCGATCACTGCTTCTTGACTGCAGTAGGCTGTACAGCACTGCTCAAAACTTTCCGCGTCGCCATGTCCTCGGTGTGTGCTACACCCTTCTTCTCATCAACGGACATGGCTGCCCCATCACTTTCCGGGGTCGTGGTTGAAGGTGCTGGGTCTGAACTGCGCAACTTCTTAGCCTCAGGCGGGGAAGGAGTAAAGGGATCGTCCTGGCCCAATCCTGCTTGGGCCCGCAATGCCCTTGCGCGCTTTCTTGGTTCTGTCAAAGATGGTGGTGTTGGCGGGGTGCACGCGTCTGAGGACCCAGGAGAGCGAACCTTGTGGGGTGGAGTCTGCATGGCGCAGGGTTCCTAACTCAGAGCGGTCGGCTAACTGTCCTGTGGGCCCTGGCGCAAGTCGTGAAGCAAGATGTCAGCATGAGAGACCTGAATGTCTGAAGGCTATGATATGAGTGTGGGTCATCAACTACTCAGGGGCCCTTTGTTCAGTGGAGGGGGCTCCATACATGATCTCGACATTTTTGATCGACACTGAGGCTTGCCTAACTTGGCTGTAGCTGAGGCACAAAAACGCCCAAGTGCTCCACGCTCTTGAGGTTTGGGATATCTGCAGGGCAATCTGGGATGGCACCTGCGTACTCCTCTGATTCGCCTGCCCTATCCATCATCATGTCTTCACGAAGGGCATTGAACTCTGCTGTCGTGAGCTGCTCTGCAAGTTGTTGCGCCGCACGCTGCTTGCTCAGTTGGTTGCCCCCGCTCAAGTAGGGACCATGCGCGCAGTTTGCCATCAGGCTTCCAAGTAAGATGGCTGACTGCAAATTACTCCGTTTTGCAGCATTTTTCACTGTATTCCACAGCGGGTGGAGGGCCTCGCCCTCCACGCGCAGGCGAAGCATGCTTTTGTATTGTAACGCATGGAGTGCCTTGTACGGCAAAGCCTCTTCGTCGACAACCTTGCTTTACAGATTATTGAAAAGTTCAAAGGGGCTTGCGTGTCTGGCCTGACGATGTGCTGGATGCTTACTAATGCCTTCTGCATGCCTCAAAAGAATTTTTGATTGCAATCAAGGAGCAGCCACCAACAGAGGACGGTCCCTTGCGCTGGGAGGCACAAGCGTAGCCGGAGCACCAGGTTCGAGGGGTTGTTGTGGCTTGAAAATCTCAAGCCCATTACCAAATACATCGTGCGAGCTCTTGTTCAAGCCTTTCGTAACAGCCTTATTTTCAAGGCCACATGTTCACTAGACATTTTTGACTGATCAGAGGCGTCGAGCCAAACATGGAGCACCCTGCAGAAGACAACTGCAAGATTTCGCTCGCATAAGAATCAGTCAAGGCACCATCATGCCAGCTATAGTTTTCATACTCTTGGCAGGAATTTCGCTGAGAAGCGTCATCTCATCGCTTGTAGTATCTGCTGTCCTTAGCGCAGGGGAACTTATAGATCAGCCAGGAAGACGTTGGGCCCCTAAACTTTCTGAAGGAGAGGCGCTGCCTCAGCAATTCGTGCTTCTCGCAAGCCCAGCTGGAGAGCGCCTTGGCTGACCATAGCTACTACTACTTTTAGCCTGAGCTCACGTGGGGCTTCCAGCTACATTGAACTACACGTCCCTTACGGAATGTGTTGCTCTCCTCTACCTGTCTACAAGTAGACTACATCTACTAGTACGAAGCTGTTTTGCTCACCGCCAATAATGTAAAGCTACACGAGGAACCCTAGATTTTGATGAGTCGCACAAGGTCTCTCCATGCTACCCTAGGCAGACACAACACGGTGGGTCTTAATGACACGCCCCTGCAAGGTCGCAGGCTTCTTTTTTTTGCGGCAATGACTTCTGGCAATGCTTTGGTAACAGCGGCGTGGAGCCACTGGGTAGTGACGTCATGAAGAGTCTGCCTCTTCCCTGGGCGTTCCATCAGTTCGTGGAACTCACGTGGTCATCCTCAGGAAAGCTGCGCCCCGTAAAAAATGAGTATTCCTAACCACACCCCAGGGAGGGCCCCCTCCCCCTTCACGCTGCAGGTACATTAGGTGCAGTTAAGTGGCTGGCATCGATCCCCAAGAAGTGTACTTCAGCTCAGTCCCTGAACCGCGACGGCTGGACTTCGGACCCTTAGTCTTCCTCTTGGATGCGGGCTTGCTCTTGCGAGCCTTACTCTTCACGGCCCCTTTTCTGACCTTTTTGCTCCTTGCTGGCGCCCGGGAACTGGAGTCAGTGGATGACTCCTCATCACTGCTCTCACCCTGAGGCACATCAATGCCTGCAAAAACCAGGTCGCCCATTGGTGACCGAGCAGCAACTACCCTGCAAGTATCAAGAACACCACGGAAGCTGTGGGCCAGCAACAGTCTCCAAGCAACACATATGAGCTGCAACTTGCTTGGCGAAGAACTGAGCAAGAATCAATGCACGGGCAAACTGCGCAATAAAAACAGCATGTCCCTGGAAAGCTTGCTCTTTTTGCTGGAAGCAGAGGCTACGCAACGCAAAGCTGGGCCCAGCAAGCATGGACACTACAAGTCCAGCGGGCCGAAACATGACAACGCCAGCATCTGGGCCAAGGCCACGGTGTTAAAGTGCATCGCAGCCCCCGCCAGCTGCGCACTTCTCATGATGTCACGAACAGGAACTTCCGGACACATCATCGCCTGGGCTGCCTGCCGGGTGATGGGCCATCCCATGGCCGCAAGTTTTTCCCGGCTGACCAACCACCGGCGCAGAGCTGGTATCCACATCTTTCCAGACCGCGAGCCCACCCTGAGCGTGGGTATGGCGCCACTACAGGCGCTCCAACAGGGACGTGACCAGGGATTGTCCCCTAAATACACCATCAGGTTCCTGTCCATGGCTGCCGGCCTCTGGAACCGAGCCAAATACATGTCCTCGTAGTAGTTCAAAGCATCTTGTTCGCGCTTCAGCAGCAATGACCTTAGGTCGAGCTCCTCATTTTCGCCTCCGGGACTCCATTCCAAATTTCGCTGGTTGGCTACATGCATAGCCTCAAGGTTCACTTCGAACGTGTCGGCCAAACAGTAATCGCCAGGGACCGTTTGGGTGCGCCTAGTAACTCTCCTGACTGCCTCCAGAAGGTCAAAGGGATCTTGCTTGCAAGAGGTTTTCCCAATTCTGGACGCTATCACATAGGTCCTTGGGCGCGCTGCCCCTCCGTGTCCTGTGTCAGAGGGGTCAAGAAAGAGCTGGTACAAGTCATACTGCGGGTGGACGTCCTGCGCCATGTCCATGTCAAGTTCCTGGGCAAAACAGAGTATAGTAGCAGGTTGGCTGAGTAACTTGCCCACCAAAGCGTGAGAAATAAAACTTGTTGGGTTTGACTATATTGCCAGCCAAAGCACAGGAGTGCACTCGAGGACAAACAGGGGGACCCTCCTTGCCTCAACAAACCTGCCATGGCTCATGTACACCGCATTTGTAGGTCCCTCCTTCTTCTGGCGCAGTCCAGCTGCTGACATATCAGTGCACGGCAGGCCGCTGCATCCGAAGTGAGCATCCGGCAGTGGGCAGCCAAGCAAACTTTTGTGGGACTTGCACTTCGTTACTGGCATCATAGCTGCTCCCAGCACTCTGCGCCGCTTTTGGGCGTAGCAGTGTGAAGCTGCAAATCGTGCTGAGGTCAGGTCCAGGGTATCACCAAACATATGTGGCAAAGGATCCGACCTGCCACATGCTTCGTTGCACCACGCGTGGTTGTCCAGCAATATCTGGTGGCATGCCGGGTTGATTTCCTTGTGTGAGCTCCAATGTTTGGAATGACCAAAAACTCCTACAAACTTGAGGAGAGGGCCCAAACAAACTACAGAAAGTAATTATCTGCCTGGTAACCCACAATGCCACTGTACGCATATCCATTTCGAAGGGGTGCTCATGTACAGGGTCGCTGCCAACTGTCTTGGCCAGGACAGCCCTTGCTGCCTCTGCAGTTCCAACGCCGGAACACATGGAGAAGGCCGTGCGGCCTTTGGCGAGCCAAGAGTCCTTCCAAGCAAACATTGTAGCAACAATGTGGGGATTGCAGCCGGAGTTGTTTGAGCTGACACACGAGACCTGGAATGGACTGTAGTAGACTACATACATCTACACTTGCAGGCCTTCAGGATAGCCGCAGGAACGTATTCTTTGACCACAGTCCACGCGGAAGAAATTGAGCTGCTCGCAGAAGTAATGCGATCCCACTCATCGTCCTATAATGTGGGGCCATGTCTGGTCTGAGTGACAGCTTTTCGGGAGTTGGGCATACACCATGCATAGCTACCATTGCTGAAATTCACTGGGCCTCCTTGTCAACTGAGCATTGTGTAGCCAGAATCTCGGACCCCGTCATCTCGTCAGGTAAGGGCGACTCGCGTGAAGCGCGCTGCCACTGATCAGGCCATAGCGGTAAGCTGCACATCTTGCTTGAATCATTTATTTGGTTTGAGGGACCATAAACAGGAACGTCAGGGCAACCAGAGATCCTCTGGTACTTTTCGTAGAGTGTTCAATACATTCCCTAAAAAACAACAATGTCCATTAATCATATGGGAAGTGCTCAGTTTAGGGTTTGGGGTTTTGGGTAAGGCAACCTGCACAGTTTTGGTGCAGCTGACAGGCAGTCTGAGCCACTTGCCTGCACTCAATGACGCTACACGTAGCACATGTGCCTGCAGGCAGAAGCATTGTTGAGCTAGCATGCAGCCCAGGCACTAATGGACACCCATACACGATGTAGTCAGGACCAGGGCCTGAGGCAAGCAGAAAGTTGGAGCGCGCTCCGCGTCAATCATCAGGGGAACCAAGGCTAATTGTTTGTTGGGGCCAGAACTAGCTGCCAAGTGGCAATACCAGGCATACCCCTCCAGCGGTGCTTTGCCGGCCGCTGTGCCATCGAAGGAAACCTTGGTTGGCAATGGTCCGGTAGTTTGCATTCTTTAATTTGCCAAAAAGATAGTATGAGCTCTGTCCCCCCCCCTCTCTTGAAACAGAATTCATGAGGAATGCCTAGGGAGCACTGGAACCCCTCAGGAGACGAAGAATAGTGGGATACATGAAGGTCTTGAGTGTCAGCGGTTCTTGCGCGGTGGTCCGATGCTAGGCATGCAACATGCCGGTGGATCTCCGGGCCCAGATCGCGTCTGGAAGCTCGAAGCAAGGCCACCTGAGCGTGAAGAGGCAAAGCAATCAAGCGCAACAGTAGGGCGGCTGTTGCAGCAATCCAGGCAAGCTGCGCAATATCTTTCTGCAATAAATGTTGGCAATGATGCCAGTCGCTCTTTCCCTTTGGTTTTCAATTCTTGTATTTGCCGAACTGCGCCTGATAGAAGGTTTTCCTTGGCAACAGCTGTGAACTTTCATACTATGCTGGACTGAAGTTGCGAAGAGGGGACCTGAGCTAGCCTAGCCATCGCGCAGTTACGTTGTGGAGGGATATGGGCAGCTGCTTCAGTGTCAGGTGAGAGGCTGCGTGCGATTTCACCAACTTGATTGCTTGTCACCACGCGCCCGGGGATGAGGTCGAACGCAACTGTAGTTTCTTGCGAGCCACCGATTCCTGCGTGTGGAAAATGTCTTTCAGATGCGCATCCTTAGATATGAAGTTTCTTCACAGAGGCTGAACATGATCCATGCTGCTGCCAAGACACCATGTAGGCACAAATCTGTGACACGATGCCGAATGCGGTAGAAGTCTGCCGCTTGAACAACTTTGCATTTGTCCTAGGTGTGCGTGACGCACTGTCAGGAAATTGGAATTCACAACAACAGCCGCTGCAGCAGCAAGTACAGCACCAACTATATGTAGTTCTAACGGACAGAATGAATGAGAAAAGGTGCACATCCTACGGCAAGAGTCGGATCCAGCATAAACATGAGGGCTGCTGCTAGATTGATCTGGCAGCCCCAGGCACCCATCCATGTCTTCCTGCCGTCCTGCTGTTGAAGAGTTGAAGAACAAAGCAAGGAAGTAATCACACCCATGATTACTTAGGGCTTCCAAAACAGCACATACACACACCATGCAGTCCTGTGTCCATGCGAGCCATCGTGCCTGCACGTCCTCCCTGTCTTGCTGTCGCATGTGTCCAAAAAGAAGCTCTGCTGAAATATTGCCCGAAGAAGGCACGTCCACACCTACGATACTGCGGTCAGGGTACAACAGTCGAACCTTCATCCGCCCTGTACGAAGCCCGGCCATCATGATATCATACAGAACACTTGCAGCGGCTTCCCGCTTATCTGCTGGCCTCTTTGGGTTCAGGCTTTGGTGGCAAAAGCATGCCCAAACAACTGATGAAGGTAGAGTGCTCTCAACGAAGTGGCCAGCAGCCTCCGTTCCACTTTTGTTTTGGCTCGCCAAAGGTTGCAGCAACGAGGGAGGCTTGAGTTCTGGCCATATTTTCCCATGAAACTCCATCCACACTTTCATGTTGCGATTCTTCCACATGCCTGACTGCCGATAAAGGATGTAAGAAACAGACGCACACACACACCCACACAGCTAGGGCATGCTAGGGAACAATATGTGCAGCTCTTCTCTATGTGCTGCCTGAGAACGGGCTTGGCGTCTGCTCTCTTTCAATTCTGGGGCAGTAGCAGGCTCAGTAGCGTCTGCTACAAAAAGAGCTTTCCATAGGGAATGCACAGACCATTCACACTGACGAGTGCCATCGGCGGCACGCGGGCTGCTTGCATAAATCCTGCCACGATCAATGTTCAAGTGGCCTCAGGTAACATACCCCAAAACCCCTCACCAGTGTCTTTTTAGCGCAGTCGGTTCGCAAATAGGGACTTACTGCGAGCAAGGGGCGCATTGAATCATACATCGACCCATCATCATCATTCGCCATTGCAACAGGGAGTTGCTCTGCAGGGTCGGTTTAAGGGTCTATACAGGTCTATAGGGCGGTATACAATGGGCATAGAGACGTACGTATGGTTCTGAGTAGGGGCTATGACATCAAGGCTTTTCAGTGATGCTAAAGGAATGCAAAGTAAAGTATTCGTGGCCCACTGAAACCATCCATTGACATTTGAGGAGCCTAAATTACGGTGGATCATTGTCAAGTCGAGCACATGGTTGAATCACTGAGATGTTGCATCTTCCATCTGGAAAAGCTCTCAAAGCCTAATAGCGACTAATAGTGACTAATAGCGACTAATAGTGACTAATAGCGCTATTGGGCTGGCTTGACCCCCTTGCCCGGGCTCTAAAGCTATATAGGATAATAGCTATACTGGGAGCCAAAGGCCCCTTGAGCCAAACACTAGCAGATGTGAACCGTTGTGCAGTCGCTGAAGCAACACTCCAAGCACAGTATGCGGGCAAGATACCACGCATACATAAGTGCATAACCACTCATGTGCATCCAGGGGATAGCACATGATGGCTAGAATCAGCTACGTTGTATGGGGATCTTAACCAGGTGCAATAATTCTGACAACCACCTGTATGATTACTGGAGATCCTTTCCGAACTCTCACACCCACGGCTCATGGGGTTCTAGGAACTTTGCGAAAGATCTTACAAGTTATGCCCTATAGTGTCACAATCGTTGTGGATTGCTTTTGGGTTTGGGCCAAGATCTACGACAGCCGTGCCACATCATTATGCACGATATCTACGGAGTCCTATGAGCTGGGCTGTGTGTACTCCACAAATCACCCAAAAACAGGAGGTGCGAGTCACTGAGTCAGCTGGAGAAGTGTTGCGTTTAGGATTTCGGTTTTTCTTGAGGATCTAGGGTCTAGGGTTTAGGCTTTAGGATTTAGGGTGTAGGCCAGTTCTACGGGTTTTGGACTCCAGGGTTGTTTGGGCCTTGGCATGAACAATTCATCACGTGAACGCTTTTTTCTGGTCCTCCCATTTGGGCACAGAAATATATAGACTCAAATAGACCGCCAATGGTCCTCAGGAACCCTTTATACACTCACCAATAAATATCCTTAGGAACCCTGTATACACTATCTGCTAGAAACCGCATCATGGCAACTGTTCTCGTATTCCGGGGCGAGAGCAACATTTCAGATCTTAATTCGTCAGTCCAGTGCACTACAAACCTTGCTCCCCCCCAAACCCCCATGTAGAAGCCAGAAGAATTACAACAATTATGTTTGAGGTATGTTTGAATGTGAGGTACCATCTACCATCACTTTACAAGAAGTCCAGGACAGTGATTTTGGCGGTCATTTCAGCAGATACCGTACATACTGCCTCTCCCTGCCCTGACAATAAATATTTCCCAAAGGTTGTATAACGGTACCATGTGAGGGGGGGACATGTATTATTGGGGTGTGAGCGGTTGCTATGAACCCTCACCCTCAAAGGTCTTCAGCCCTAGAAAATGTAGTTGTTTCAGCGAGGTTTCCATGTGATTTTCCACTGCCTATGTAGTATTTTCCAAAGTAGGGGGACACTAAGATACGCCCATATCTTCTAAAATCCTTGCTATTGGGACCCCCAAATTGGTACCCCTAGTCTTGGGCAGCCCTTATATTAGCCCTTCTAACGGCGGTGAGGAGTATAAGGGGGACAGGAGTATTAGATTTCAAGCCTTGTCCCCGGCCAAAGGACCTAAACCACGTTTTGCAACTTCTTGGTTTTCCTGTACATCCTAAACCCAGACTCAGACCCTTTGAATCCAAGTACTATAAACAAACTGCGTTATAGGTCGCACATACTGTAATCTGGATGGCTTTGGCTTCCTGAATCCCTGATACTTGGTACTTGGTTGGATCCTTAGAGACAAAAACTCCTCAACCCTACATAAAAGTCTCAAGCAAAGCCTAAACCATAAACCCTAAACCATTATCACTTCTAGACCCTAACCCTTCAAACAGGATTCCCGGACCCTAGGGCCTACCGCCTCAGGGTTCAGGGTGTTTATTTTTTAGGCTTGAAGCCGTGGTCAGGCCCACAACAACCCCGCATCTGCGATTTAGCTCTTTACTATAATTACGTACCTATAGCTTGTATGTATATCTCTCACCATCCCATGCATAGATCCCGACGGTAAACC